TATTCACGTTCATCGTTTGTTTTAGTTAACTAGTTTCTGTCTATGTAATTAATTGATCTTTTTTATGATTGGGTAGTATATTGTCTCTACGTCGTTTAGTTTCTCGGTTATCAACTAACTACAATATCAAGCCCTTGAAAGTTCCTTATCACGCCTTATCTCATCGACAATTAATCTATGTATAAATGATTCCATTGATATTTAGCCAGTCTGGCAATCAAAATAAAAACATATTGAAACACAGATTCTTCGGATTGCGTCTCTGTGTCTTGTTAGAGGCATTCTTCATTTCTGAGTGCTATATTCGAGATATTGGGATATCAACCTGGTAGTGGTGGACGGAACGTAAACCAACAATGTAATAACAGGACGAAGCTAAGCCATTCATCTGCACCCCAGCCCTGCTAACTCGAGGAAAAAGACCAGAGTTAGTAGGGAAAATATATAATTCCACAAAAAACTCGGAAGAACAGATCACTAGCACTTAGCTCATATGAGTTATGTCTCTGAAGAGCGTCACAAAGTAGCATACTAAAAAAGAGAATGGTCTAGTGACATTTAAAGTTCTACCAGGTGAGAAACAAACTGAAAGTAGTAGGCGCTTTTGGTACGAAAGTGAAAAATTCAAATCTCCACAATTAAACTGCAAAAACAATAAGTCGATATAGTGATTCCCAAGGATCTAGCATTCCTAATACTGAGTAGTTAAGACATTGAAATTTTGGGAAGCTGTAATGTCAAAGGGTATTTCGATTATGTTTAAAGAAAAAACCAGTGGCTATCGGTGAATGTTTTGCAATGCCTTTTTAGTTTGTGATCGTATGTTATTGGTCATTTCTGTATGTAGGCCATCTGAATTCAAACATATATTGGTGTTTTTCAAAATATATATTTCAGATAAGTATAGCCCTATAAAGCCATCCAGTAATCCAAAAGTCGAAACTTTAGCAAATACTAAATCAACGGGATTACAGGAATTAGAGTGGAGTCTCGAGGAAGATGAAGCTGAACAAGTAAGTTACGTGACTCACTTTTATATGTTGCTGATTTTGGATATTGAGGCATGAAAAGCTCAGTGGGAATAACATAACATGTAGGGAGTAGCAAAAATAAAAGGGAAATCTCATAAAATTCATCTAAAACTTCAGTTTTTTATCAAACAACTCGCATCGATAACTTCACAAAATGGTCATTACACAGCAGTTGATTCTTAGGTGTTAAATGCTTATTGAAGCCTATCAATCAGCAAATCACAGGTTCGTCACTAGTTCAAGCTACAAAACAATCGTATGTTAAATTAAATTTGAAGTGCTTAAAAGCAGTTTTGTTAGTGATTGTGTTGTCAGTGAATTCATATCTACGGCTTTATAATTATAAAGTCACTGTTATACCTTGATTTAAACGTTTTTACACTTATGAAATAGAATTAGTTTCCAATCATGTAATGGTCGTTTCCCAACCAATTTGATTGCTAGTGAATGCAACTTAGTGGTCATCATGAAGTTAACGGACCAATCTGTAAAGTATATTGATTTTTTAGGTACTAGTGTTTTGTAATAGACTAGTCGACCCTCAGTTAGTTAGTAAAGACTAGGTCACTCAGTCGTAAGAAGCATGAACCCTGGGACATGTACATTGCTTCGGCTTGACGCAGAACACCAGCCTAGCGGCATGAAACTACCAAGACAAATCCAAGAGTATTAGAAGTAGTAAAAGCATTAATAGTAGAAGAGAAGATTGGGCATAAACAATAAAATCCGAGAAAAAAGGTGAGTTTCAGCCTACTCCTACAACAAAAATAATCGTTGTGGTGGTGAAGTGTCATTCTACAAAAATCTAGGCTCTAGAAATGGTTGAATATACTCAAACTACTTATTGTCATTAAGTAGGCCGTCACACTAAAGAACAAAGTGGTTTAGAAGTACAAAACAGGTTAATTTGTCACATCTTCGAGTTGTAGGTATTCTTAATACATAAACGTGATTTGGTTTTTATTGTTCTTTATAACCATCTTTGTGAAAGCTATTTTTAAAAATGTGCAAATTATTATTGAACATGAACTGAAGATTTTAAACGGGGAAAATGATTTTCAGATTAACAAGAGACAATTTGAGTGGGAAACTAGGTAATGCCTGTTCCCAGTGGCTTAGTTCCATTGTCTGCACCTCATAAAGACTGGTTTAATCCTTCTATTATGTTTATTATAGTTTTCTATATATATATATATATATATATATATATATATATATAATACTCTTGTGAATGATATTACACTGGCAAAAGATATTGCTTGTAAGTTAAAATCAATATCCTACACAGATAATACATTTCATATACGGTGAAATATTTATGTTCTCTCTGATTTTTGAGTAGTCGTAATTCATGAACTGTTGTTATTTTTTGGTTTAACCGCCCCTAACGCTTTCCATTCCACTTCACCCGTCAAGCTACGCGGTGTTAGGCATATGTAACTCCTGTCTCAACCACCGCAGTTGATGGAGATTTACTAGCTCATCAATCGACTTTCCATCCTTACCTATGACTTCCTAATCCATGGATTGTTCCCAGGTGGTCAAAAAGTACACGAGCATTAATTCGAAGATGCCTATGATCGAATAATAACAGCCTACGAATATCCTTTATTATTAGTCTTCATGTTTCACATCCATAAACTCGTCCTTTGGTTGGCAAACGAATATCTCACCTGCGCCACAATTTGGTAAAAGCCAATCGGGCTTTCTGAATCTACTGAAATTTCGCCAGACACCAGACCATAAGAACTGATGATACTCTCAAGTGAGATGGCCGGTACGTTGAAATACTTCACTCCCTATCATTAATTCCGACCCCAACACAAACCAATCCTGAAGCAGAATTTCGCTTTTGAAGGGAGAGAACCGCATCCCAAACATGCTTGGATCAGAAGACTACATTCTGTCAGCATCTTCACTAAACAGAAAACATATTATCTGCGTATTCTAATTCAACAAATGGATCTCCTGATAGAATAATCCCTGAAGTCGGACGAGGAATAATAGGAATTTAAGTCCGACGAAAACGGTACTATCTCTTAAAGCATGTATACGGGGAAGTTAAGTAAGACTACACTGACGAACATCATTCGAAGTAACCATATCTGATGGCAGTTCGCTATAAGCCCTGATTTGAGCATTAGTGTTTGAGTAAAGGTCCCGCACAAGATTAATGCACCTCTTCGGCACGCATTTTAATGACAGACTGCTACAGAACCTCACAGTCAACTAAGTCGAGCGCCGCCTTAATTTCAAGGATCAAAACTACTGTCGGCCGTCGAAAAGCATATCTATGTTGCAGAACCTGCCGGAATGTGAACATTTGGTCTATAGAGACCGCATCCAGGGTCGAAATCAGGCTGGTGAAGAGAATGCAAACGAACTTAACACTAACATCTGAAAAGAGGCAATAAAAATGTGTTCTTCCATAATTTTAAGATTTTCAGGAATATGAAGCATCTTTTGCGTGCAAGAAAACTTAACAGATTTATGGATCTGTTTTTCGATCAGATCTTCATTAAAACACAAAAGTGTAGGTTTGAACAAAAATATATACGCGTAAATGTCAGCTTGATTAGATTACTTTATTCGTGCACTTATTACTTGCGTCAGTGCTTTGTAACTGGCTACAAGTAGAATACGCTTGTTTGTAAAGTGTCAAACGTATTAGCTAAATGCATAATAGCGTTTTGATGAAGATAAAAGGAAGTTACACAAAATTGTAGCCTTATCATTTACGCTAACCTAGTAATCCCGTTATTACGCCACAATACTTATTCACTGTTTTACAAGTTGATAATAAGTTCACTGAAAAGAAATACTTTCGCTGAATGTCATATTTTTATTCTGATGGGAATGTAATTAATTAATAATTAGATAGTAAAGTAACCTAGGTAACACGACTCGTGTTGCTTTGTAAAACACTATAAACGAACGAAAATTAGTAAAATATGATCCGATTCAATCTGAAATTTCCTATGGATTAAATAAACACTAATATTATACTATCACTAAGTATAATTACTACACTAATGTTCAGTTAATTTGCTTTTCCTAATACATAAAACTAGTATGCTACCTACACTTCTGATTCCAGATACCAAAACACAGTAATCTAACCCCAGAAAAAGTCCGAGTGAATAAAGTCAGTGGTAAAGCAACATTGCAAACAAAACAAGCAACCAATAAAAAGTCTGTGCCGAGCTGTCAACTTATACTACAAACGAAAGATGATTTTGGATTTGATTCTGACCAGGACGAGGCGACAACACTAGCGGATATGGTTGAAGACGTTTCCACCGACGACGACATAAGTTCTTCATTAAATGAAGGTAAATCTTCTAAGCAAAATTATGTAGGAAAAAGCCCAGTCAATCCACTGAATGAAGCATTACCAAAAACTAAGCGAAGTGGGCGCGGACGTGGCGTACGGACTGATACAGCTTCTAGTGGTTCAACTAGAGGCAGAGGAAATAATCGTAGAGTTGGTTCTAAGTCAGGATCACAACAGATAAATAATGATGATGATCGCCTTGATTTCGATTTTCGTCGAAAGCGTAGGAAAGTTGAATGAGACTTAATTTATATAGTTTACTTTCGAATTTCTCATTAATTATATCCCTTTATTTTTGTTTTTACAATATGACTGATTATTATTTCTATCAGTATTTTTAAAGAGATTTTTGTGGACTTGAATTTCTTCATTTGTATCTTATGAAAATAGGTTAGTAATGCAATCAAGGGCTTATAACTAGTTTCATTATTACTACAAATGAACAAGTATAATCCATTTCATTTTCAACATAGTATTTACAATATAATGGGTACATACAATCAAAAGAAAATCCACATATGAAATGAAATTTTAAAAAGCTACTGGTGCAAGTAGTTATATCACAGTCAAGATATTTAAGATGGAAATATATAGACGCAGAAGAAAAATACGACTGTTCCATCATAAATGCACAAACCTTGAATCCATTTTCAGATATCTATTGTATGGAAACGAAAAATATAGGAGTATTAGACAAGTAACGTAGGTTTCGAAGTATAAGTTTTTTATCACTGTTTAGAAGAAAACTAGAAAGTACAGACATTTATCTGTTTTGTACCAGGAAAGTGGCAGTTTAATCTTTTTCGCACCACAAATATTACGTTAAATTTCATATAAGTAAAACTGCATAAAAATGCGTGGTTCATTCGATAATCAAGAAACTCTACGAACCAGATTTTTTTTATAAAAATATGTGGTGGGATCAAGCACTGTTGAGCGCAATATTTATGACTCAGGCATCCACTGATAACGTGTTTGAAACTAGCATTGACGATTTTAGGATAATTGGAGCAAAGGTTTGAGAAAACTGATATTTTGTGACCGATGAATTTTTTCATTAATTAGTTTTTTCAAAATAACTTAAATTTACTTCCTGATTCTCTCCAATTCGCCTAGGTTTACATCTAGATAAAAATCTAAGATAGACTCCGGAAACGCGCTTAATGCTTGGTTAGGAGTGAGATCTTGTCAGACTCACATATCACAGCCCATCTGTTTGAGTCCTTCCGCACCCAAGGTTTCATTGAACTCCAATCCTCAATTGTGTATCTCATATTGTTCAATTACGGAGTAAAAATTCGGTTACAGCTATGTAAACTCAACCACGAAAGTAAACTAGAGAAAATAGAATACCTTGGGTAATAAGGACGATTAATTCTGAAGACTTAACACAGTTAAGCGAAAAAAGACAACTATCCGGATATAAATCAGTCATACAAGTAGACCAAAATATTACTTACTCAAAGTACATATAATACTGACATGAATATTTCTGAATTTATTATGATACATTATAATATATTTGATTCTGCGACTGATTTTGGACAAGCGAAGAGTTTCCCAGCTAGTTTTTGTCTTCCTTTGATTTCTTCATTGACACGTTTAGCCTCGATAATGTTTAGTTCATTTTCGACTGTGTTCTTCATTTCCGGACGACAAATGGCTAGCTTACGTAGATCCTCAGCAGCTAGATCAAAGTCCCAAGTTTCTATATACGCCTTAGACCTGCGATAAAGTGCTTTTACATTTGTAGGATCTCGTGATAAGGCTTCAGTAGTATTTTTTATTACAGCATAATAGTCCTAAGAATTATCATGGAGAGGGAATATAGCATAACGAAAATATCAACAGGGGTCGACAGCACAATTTCAAACATTAGTTAGTCGCATGTTTGAATTGCGGACACGCCACAAATATAAAGCTAGACTACCTAAAGTCTTCAATTAAGATACTGTTTAGAACGATATTTGATGAGCATTTGGCCATAAGACCAATCTCATTCAAGATGCCATCAAAATTATGGGAATGATAAACCTAATTCATAATTCTTTCATTTCAAGAGGGATTCTGTTGATGTAACCTGTGATAATAAGATGTGGCTTACAACGTAGCTGGTTCGTCAACTTTTAAAAATCGATTTTCGGACGTATCTATAATGTCCTTAAGATCTCGAATTTTTTTAAATAATGAGATGATACGAAGAAAATGATTATTGGATAGGGACACAAACACGGTAGGACCTGATCTAAATATTATAGTTTTATATTTCTACCATTATTTTAGTCTCACAATTTGTTAATCTAACCTAATCTTACTTTCAAACTGATCCCATCGGTTCTTAGTAAAGTGAAAAATTTCATTCAGACATTTAGTAAAAGGACTAGATAAAAGTGAATAAATATTTGTTTCCAAATAATTTTTCACCATAGCTTAATCTATACTAGCTGATTATAAAGACGGCTAATCTTCTCGATGCAATGAACACTGCTGGAATGAATCAGCAGAACGGAGACTTCCTTCATTTTAGTCAAACTTAACATTGAGGCAAATAATACTAATTGTATATTAGATATTGAATGTTTTGCAAGCAGTTACTTTATCTGGAGCAAGTCATGCTTTGTCGGTACAATTTAAATTTATCACTTAGAGGTGTGAGCAGAACAGTCAAAATAGATGAAACCGTTGTATAGAAGCGAAGGTATAGCAAGGGGAACGAATGTCAAAATAGAATGAATAGGTAGCATATTTGGGAAGGCCATGTTCTTTCATGTTAAGCAATTAGAATATAGTTTTTGTGAGAGTTATCTATCACAAAAGGTAATAAAATTATACAGCATCAAAAATTCTAACACGAAATAATTATCAGTCAATCAATTTGCGAATCATAATGTTTTAACCATAGCTTCCAACCTTAAGAACAGAAACCCAGCATTTTAATTAAAAAAACCTATCATCTAATCCATTCGAAATCTAGTCAAAAACATGATTTCTAGCAACAAGGTTGTAAGTTGGGATAAAATTGTTATAATTAAAAAAGAGTATTGAAAATTCAAACACTTAAAATGGTCATATGAATAAGCTATTTACTTTTTCTTTAAATTGACATTGTGCAAGATTAACGAATAGTGGTATTTGTAACTTGTCCAATACAATCCACTCAGGTTCTCCTGGTTTTTCTCGTAAAACTAATTGTTCTAAAATGCCTAACGCTTCACTATAACATGCAGCAGCCTTATTATATTCCCCACGATTATACAACTGATTACCTTCTTCACGTAAAACTGGTACAGTTTCCAATTTCTCTTCAGGCGTCATTATCCATGTTTCTTTACGACTACCAGTGCCTGGAATTTCAACTCTAGAATAGCATATAAAAATATATATTACTCATTAAATTACAGTTGGAATTTGATTATGTAGGTTTTCAGGTTAGTCAAAAATATAAATGTAATATACAGCAATTCTCCCAGTATTACAATGCAGATAGGAATCACAACACGTAAGAGTATAAAATTCCACAGGTTGCAAGTATTCAGTCATTAATCTTGATGATTAAACCGTCTAGCGAGCAGCGTTGATGGAACAGAAAACTAAGTCACCTGATATATCAGTTGTTAAATTTAATAACTTTCATCGACTGAAATGATTGGGACGTACATCAACATCACAGCTAGCACTTGCGTCAGTGTAGTATACCAACTGATATAGAAAAAGCTTTTAAATAAGCTAAATTTCGTGAGACGACGATGTAGCACTAGCGTATGGAGTCAGTAACCATCGGTTTGAACTGTGTAAGTTAAGTTCCATGAGATAAATATTGCCGAAGAAATTATATTGTCTGCAAATACATAAATAATAATGAGAACAATATCGGAATACCGGAAGCCTATTTGAAGGAACTACTACTACGTTGCACTTGCAATGTACAGTTTACATTCAATGACGGTCAATTACTAGCAGATTGCTTCATGACCAGTCTAGTAAACAACCGAATTAAAACGATTATCAAAAACTTTCACTTGTATAAAAGGTACGTAGATGATATCTTTATCATTTGTGACAACAAATATGATTTGAGTCATCCTCTAAAGACACTTAATAACTGTCACCCAGCAATAAATTTCACACTTGAAGTTTAAAACAAGCTAAATATTTACTTTCTTGATGTGGAAATGACAAGAAAACAAGACGGAATTCTAAGATCTATCCACAGGGAACCCATGTGGAATGGCTAACTATTAAGTTTCCACAGCTCGCTCCCCATTAGTCGGAAAAGGAACCTCATAATATCACTCGCTACGCGAATACAAAGGACTTGTAGTCTCGAGGTCATCGATGATGAACTGAGGCTCTTGAAGGAAATACTTATCAAAAACAGGTATCCTTCGATACTTATTGACAAGAACATAAAACATAGACGGCCTAAAACACAAACAACCTCAGTCGAAAAGAAAACACTATACATGAACATCGATTTTAAGGGTGATAGAGCTACAAACGTCCTAAAGAGGAGAATTTCTGAGTCTTCAAAAAGAGCGTTCTTTGCAGCAACGTTGCAAATAGTATTCTCCAGCCTATAAGTGTTCATCAGTAATGTTAAGGATAAATGATCTAATCGGACCAACTCTATGTGTAATTACCAATTTGCCCGCTCGTGTGGAGCCAGGTGTATAGGTCGTTCGATGCGTACTTTATTCAAAAGAATTCAAGAACATTACCCAGTGTGACTAAAAAGAGGCGGAAACGGATAAATAAAAGTTCAGTAATCGAATACTTTATGAACACATGTCACTCAATCAAGACGGCTTCTCAGTTCAAAGTCATTTACAAGGTAAGTAGAAGTCTGCCAAAGGTAGTTATATTGCATCTTCTGAACATTGCCGAAGCAATAGCTATACATCTGGAAAAGTCAGAATCGTGTGTCCAAAAGAGATTGGTACAACCTCTTCTTCTACCATGGTCCTAATGTTTCGTGATTTTTTCCATCATACTATTCCTCCTTTACAGCCATCTATTCCCCCCTCCATCTTCTCCTTAAACCCTCTACCCCCCACTGGTTTACTTCTGTTTCTATGATCCTCCTGATTACATTTCATTTCAATTTTATCTTACCATGCTGAGCCATCCTTTCCTAATCATAATTTCCCCATCTATATAATGAATATTTAAGCCCTTAACAACCAAACTAATATTAGTTTCCTTGATTAAAAAAAATTTCAATACCTTTTTTATTCTACCTCACTGTTATTATGTCTAACAGAAGTTTATTGTTATTATTGTAATTATTATCATCCTGAAAAAAAAGTATATATATATATATATATATATATATATATATATATATATATATATAGCTTTGAAAATGAATTCGCCAAAAGGAGAACTCTTCGCTGAACCAACCTTATTTAATTTTGTATAAACCAAGAGGCCTAAGTTTACATTAGTTTAATTTTAGGAATTAGTAGAAAAGTGAAGAAAATGATTCAGATTTAACTACCTCACAGCTAAGTGTTGTCTTTTTTGAGCATATGGGCTTGCTTTTTGTCAGTACTTGGACAAGTAAAAGGAACGACACTTATTATGAAGCTTTTATAGTCTATTTCACATATAAGAAACTAACTAAGGAAATAGTTTATTGAATATGATAATCGAAAAATCTATGACCTCAAGTCAGATAGCTACAACGTAGGACCAGGCACATATATGCATCGGTTCAAGTTGCCATACCTCATTAACACAACAAGATGGACACTGGATTCATAAAAGTAGTTAATTCAGAGGTGGTAATATATAAAAGAAAGATTCCAATAAGGATATAGTACAAGAAGAAAGAAATGGTTCGTAGAAGGAAAGATATGAAGTGATTTTAATCTCTTAGTTTAAGGGAAGACAAGGAGTGTATACACCGACGCCATTGTGATCGATTCTGAGCCATGTCACCAGGAGTCTACAACCATTGGTTACGAAAGTCACGCGGACCCCAACCAAGTAGTCTGCATCTACCAACATGGCTCAGACTAGAAGTCAGGGACTTCAAGCATTGATGCCACATTTTGGTTTGGCCGCCCCTAACTTTTTTCCAACCATCCCCAACACTAGTCAGCATTGCGTGTCGTGGTAATCGGTGTTCGGGCATACGTAACACGTGGCCCAACCATCTCAGTCGATGAAGATTCACAACCTCATCAACTGATTTACCATCATTCCCCAATACCCTGCGTCTAACCTCACTATTACTTACCCGGTGATCCCAGCAGACGCCAGCAATATTTCTAAGGCATCTGTGGTCAAATACTAGTAGCTTACGAGCATCTTCTAGTCTTAATGGCCACGTTTCGCTGCCGTAAATTAAAACAGAACGGACTGCCGCGCAGTATACTCGTCTTTTTATTGATAGACGGATATCTCGCCTTCGCCATAGGTGACGTAAGTTGGCGAAAGCCAAACGAGCTTTTCGAATCCGTGCTGAGATTTCGTCAGACACCAACCATTAGGGTTGATCTGACTTATAAGCTAAGTGAAGTCGTCGACGTGTTCGACAACTTCACTCCCTATCCTTAGTTTAGGTATTGACGCAGGCCAGTCCTGAAGCAACGATTCGCATCTAGAGAGGGAGAGAAGCGCATTCTAAACATTCTGGCATTGTTGCTTAGTGCTACCAAAAGACTGCATTTTATCAGCGTCTTCACCAAACAGGACTATATCATCTGCGTATTCTAAGTCGATAAGTGGACCTCCTGGTAGGAGATCAATATCCTAGAATTCAGTAGACGAGAATGTCATTTCCATCAGTAGGTCTATGATGAAGTTAAACAAAAATGGAGAAAGTGGACAGCCTTGACGGACACCACTTGAGGTTGCAAACGTAGATGACAGTTCGCCATAAGCTCTGACTCGACTGGTAGTGTTCGAGCAAAGAGCCTTCACAAGGTTTATGTACTTCTGGGGTACGCCTTTCAATGACAGACACTGCCACAGAATCTCGCGTCTACGGAGTCAAATGCTGCTTTTAAGTCAAGAAAGACCACCATTGTCGGACGCCGGTAAGTATGCCTATGTTCTAGAACCTGACGAATGGTGAATATGTGGTCGATGCAGCCACGACCAGGTCTGAAGCCAGCTTGATTCTCTTGTGTTTGCAGTTCACGAGTCTTAGTTAAGCGTCTGATAAGTATCGAGGCTAGTATTTTAGATACTATATTTGTTAAACTAATCCCTCTATGGTTGTCACAGGATGATTTTAACCCTCTCTTATATATTGGGACGATAAGTGATTGTGACCAGTCAGATGGAATAACGTCTAACTCCCAGATCTTAGCTAAAATATTAGTCAACCTAATCGCTAAAATTGGACCACCATCCTTAAAGACCTCTGGAACCAATCCATCTGGACCAGCTGCCCCTCCTCGTTTCAGATTACCTATAGCCTCTTGAACTTCTGCCAGAGTTGGGGGACCTACTTCAATGTTCCATTCACACTGTCTGGGAATGGAGGGTAGTTGTAGAGTAGCTGAAGGCCAGTTGAACTGTTCCCTAAAATGTTCCGACAATCGTTCTAAACGTCTGGACTGAGAGCAGATGAGGGTGTCGTCTTTTTCCGAAATAGTCTGACTTACACTTGACTTATTAATTCCAGTTTCTTTTATTAGTCTGCAGAGCTGTCTTGTGTTCCCTATAGCCGCCGCCTTTTCCATCTCTTTTGCTTTCGTTGCCCAACACTGCTCACAGTCGTTCCTTAGACTTTTGGTTACCCTATATTTGATTTGTTTACGCTCTTCATCGTGTCCAGAGCCTGATGGGATGAGTTTACGAGAATCTATCAGTGCAATAGACCTTGAGGAAATGAATGGGTTCTTTGTAACCCTGTGGTTTAAATCACTGATAGATGTCACTGCTGTTTGTATAGCTTTCCAAGCAACATCTGGGTCATCCTCGTTTTCAGGACTACCTAATTGTGACCTCAGTTGTTTTTGGAACCTACTTTTGGTTTTCTCATTATTTAATTCAATTCCTATGGGTCTTTTTAGTGTGGTCTATTTGAGTCCATCGTTAGTTTGGTGTAGGGGGTCGCCATGTTAGACGATGTCTCTCCTTATGCTTAAAATTTGTGTTTGCTAAAAATAAACGATTGTCTGAGCACAGTTGCAGCAGACGATCACCATCATCTGTTCGCTGTGCCGGTATACTAAAATACCCACCTAAATGCCTTTCTGTTTGGTTTAACCTACCTATCTGGGGATTAAAGTCACCCCCTAAGAGTACTATGTCTGAACGTTTAGCTTTCTGAAGAAGTTCAGATAGCTTTCTGTAAAATTCATCTTTCACTTCATCTGAGCTGTAGTCGGTGGGAGCGTAGGCAGAAACGATAAAAAGGCAACGACGTGTGTCCCTATCCTTCCGAGTTCTTACGGAGCCATTTAGCCGAACAGCACATAAACGCCTGTTAACGGGGATCCACTCTAACAGTGCTTGTTCCGCCCTCATGCTTAATGCTATCCCTACTCCTGCCAGTCCACGAGAGCTGGCCGTCGGGTCACCAGATACACGGAGGATGTATCTCGTTGTCTATCCGTTTTGCCGAGGTGAGGTCAAGTGGATGAACACACTGGGATCCTGTATGCGTGTTTCAGAGACACAGCATACATCAATGGTACGAGATTCTAGGGTTCTAGCCAAGGAAGCTATGACCTCAAGTAGGTTTCTTTGTATCCAGAGTGGAACGAAGGGGAAATATAACAGAAAATAGTTAATGTTCATAACTTTTGTTGATGGGAGAAAGAAATAATGAGCAATTGAACTCTCAAATATTTTAGATTTGGTCTCACAAGTTAGGTTTGTGTGATATTACGATTACAGTTGAGTATCTATGCTTTATTCTCAGGTCGTAAATATAATAAGAAGAATTTCAATGTGTGTGAAAAGAGCATTAAGGTCACGAGATTTCATTATTGAGTACATTCCCAACAGTTCGATTCAAGTTGCACAATTCAGCATAAAAGAAAAATGATATTTAGATATAGCAAATGCCAATCTAAGTACCAGGCTTTAAATTTTTGTTGAATAAGATAAATAACTTATTAGTGTCTTAAGCTGATATATGAACAGGTGAATTTTTAATAAAATTATTGATCGAAACCTTTCTTTAATGAACTCTAAAGGATATTAGTATTACTTATAAATGTCAGGAGACAATGACAACAATATTATACTGGGCCGAGCTCCAGTTGTTGGTTGAATTCGTTTTGTGATATAAAAAAAATTGGACGCAATATTAGTTGGAACTGTTAACCATTTAAGTCATAAAATCATATTTACCACTCCACACTATTAAAGTTTTTTAATTCCATGGTTCTGTAGAATTCGACCAGCATCAATGAATAGTAATAGGATACTGGTTTCGAATTGAATAACTCAGAGATGACATCTGTGACTGTAGTACTGAGTGACATGAGTACGGACCAGTGCTGCAGCACTTGCTTTTTTGAAGTCGCAGATAAGTGTCAGCCAGGGCGAAATCCGGGGACGGGATTTTATATCTATTGCTAGTAGTCACATCATATTAATTAAATATGACTTATTTTCCTAAGTATCATATTATAGATTATTTTATCAAATGTGAATCTTCTTACTTTAACATTACAGCCACGTACAGTGCATGGGTGTGGTCTAAAACATGAAAAAATAATTAGCATTGAAAATTCACGACCAGTAGGACGCCCTTATTGATTTAATAGGAAATTTCTTCGATTCTCCCACCTATAAAACATACTAACGACTTTGAATTAAATACCATCCAGAAACTCGGTTGAAGAGCGTATGAGAATTAAGTTGATATATATATAACATTCATTTGTTACCAAACCAAAAAAATATTAAAAACGTAATAATACATTGATAATTGTTGTAGGAATATATTAATAAAGCTTTCTGATTAGGTATTACATTAGGTTTTGCTTTTATTTGTGACTGGTCATTGATTTCAGAATGATTAATCAAAATAACCATAAAGTCGAATTATTTTACGGTAACCTAAGCACTGGATATTGCTTTATTTTACATGAATCCTGAGTAGGAATATGCACTAGGAAGCTTTATTTTACTTTTGCATGAAAGTGCAAACATTTTGACGAGAATAAAAAAAACCTATTATTATTGTGTTAAAGACACCGCAACTAGATTATTTTGATGATTATAAACTATAGATCTGTGGTTTTAGCGCTCAACTTTCAGTTATAAAATCGAGTTAGAACCCAGCTCATACTAACTCGGTATTGATAGGTTTTTATAAAGCAAACACTATGTATATGACTGGTAGGTGGAACGACAGTATTCACGATACATATCATCAAACTGTTCATATTGTATGAAATTTATCATTATAATTTAGATTAATTAAACGTATCAAAATAATTTTCTTCTCCAAACACCAAGAAATAACAAAACCAAATGGATAAACTTACTTAACTAAATCAAAAATAAATTCAAGTGCTTCAGGTTTCATCATCAACTCGTCCAGATCTGGGTAGCCCAAACCACCTTGCTCTTGTAAGCTCATTAATCCACAACAGTGTTTTGCAGAATGATCTTTTTTATTTAACATGTAATCACGCAGTTTTTTATTTACAGCTGGAAATGAAGCCAACCTTTCAGGTGGTACAACAAATGATGAAACTTCACCAGGCAACATAGTTCCTAAACATTGTTCCCAAAACTAAAAAGGGACATTGAAATATAGAGAAGTGCACCTCTTGAGTAATCTTAAGAGCTGAAGTGAGTCAAGGTTACAAAAATATAGTTGAAGTCAGTTCATAACAACTTTGCGATAGATCTATCAGTGGAATGATAGGGAATTAAGTTATCAATCCACCTCCTTTCAAAATTCGCTACCTCACACATCAACTCGTAATATGGACAGCAAAAACTAAGGTTGATAGCCAGGTGTCATAGTTCTGTTGGAAAATGGGTCATTCAGTAAAATTTTATCTACCGATGGCTTACTTCTTAAATGACATTTAATAACGTTCAATTTGATGTCTAGTATTCTTTGCACGAGGACGCTATTTTACTACAAGTGGAACGTATTTGTCAGTAATTGTGCTAGCCTTGTATATCAATTTATTTAGGGTTTGCATCAATAACTCAGTCTCGTGAGAAGCGATCAGTCGGGCAAATCCTGTAACTAAGCATTATCTATCGAATTGGATTCTCCCCAACACCTTGAGAGTTTATCACGGTCGTCACTCATCAAATTATAGAACTCCGCTCAATAACAGTATGGAGTTCTAAGTGTAGTATGAACATTCTGAGGATTGAAAGATCCCCTCAAACTCACTTATGTATAGTACATGACGCACGAATTTCCGGATGCTACAGATCTTTAAGTTAAGGAGTAGTTTAACAAGATTTCCCAAACCTAAGTAGGTAAAGTGAGATATGAGCCAAGGATCAACAAATTTGAAGTAGAAAATTATCTTTATTAGATTGAAAACCAGGAAGATAAACGTTTATTTAGTTGCCTTGATAGTGACAGTAAATAAAGCAAGAATAAATTTGTATCGTATTGTAGCCTCTTTTCTGCTCCAAACAGGTTAGTATTACAACGAATTTCCTCGTAAGTAATAACCATATAATTATACTTTAAATGCATTGGAAAGGAAACTGTAACCTACAGAAAACATGTAAGTGAGTGAAACAAGTACAGAAAATAAAGATTACGGATTGCAGTCAAAAAGGGGGAGGTAAATAAAAAAACACTAACTTGGTGAGAATATATAACGAAAGGAAAAGTTAACTGTAAATTATTGATTTTAGCGACCTTATAAAGTAATAAGAAAATGTGGAAATATGAGTGGAAAATGAAAATAATAGACGAAGCAATTGGACCTATAATTGGTTAAGAGGATAACTAAGTTTTATTTCTGCTTATATAATCAGATTATCTATGACTAACTATAACAGATTCTGAAAAACTCAGTAAAACGGGTAGTTATTGCTAGCTTATTATGAAGGATTAAAAGATACCTATCAGATATGCCTAACAGTCAGTTATATGCAGCTATAATTCTACTTTGGACTAAACATGAAAATATATCTCATTTAAGTTGGAAAAGACTTGTAATGTTTCGTTTTCATATGACGAATACAAATGAACATTCTTGATGAACTGACTTGAAAAAAACAAGACTATTCTTCGTCATTACCAATAACTAAATCGTGCTCTTCTTACCTCCAGTTGGAATTCTTTTCCCGAGTACACCTCCATCGTTTTTCCATACCTACGGGTATCATCAATCACGGTACGGTCCTCATCCAGTTTACGAATTTGATAATGAAAAATAAACTTAGTCTCTTTAGGGTAAGCTAGTCCACCTCCAGGAGCCTGACAATCAGGTGAAACTTTCTCAACACTTCCATGAATGATTCGTTTCTCAATGTTTTTAAAAGTGCTTTCAATATTTGCTGTTTTGTGGCATGGAGCTTTATCACCCAACTTCCAGTTTTGAATTACGGTTGAAAGATTTCGTAGAACGTCGGGTTTACAAGCAGTTTTGCAGCAATCATTATTTTGTTTGTGACTGCAATGGTGATGTGACTTTTTGGATGTTTTCTTTTTCTTAGATGCATCGCTTTTAGGTTTGGAATTTCTGATGTTATTGGTAGCTTGATTGTCACAAACTGCGCTCGATTCTGAACTCAGGTACTCCATACTGGTCTAAACGACAAAAAGAAGAGCTACCAAATACTGACTGGGCATTACAGATATTATTACTATATTACTTCAAAAGGATTGAAGTTATTACAAGATAATGGAAAATGAAATATATTGAGATGGTGGGGAAGATTTATAGCTCAGGTGGATGGATTTGATGGAGTTTTGTTCTCTGATCCATCTGAAAGCTCCACGACAAAAACATCCAGCTCAAAGAACAAAACTCCGTCAAAAACTAAAATATATGTAGAGAGACTGAACCCATTATTTGATAGCTGATAACCAAGTACCTGGTAAAATGATGGAATACATTTGGTACGGCCATATTAGTATTTATCTAAAATAAGCGTGATTTAATAATCACCAGACGTGATGGTTTGTCTATCACAAAATGCTCATCAAGTTATATTGACTGGAACTTGTTCCTTTAAGCCCTACAATACCAGGTAGGTCGGTTAGGAAACAGTAAGACTAAAAGCGACAACTTGCGGTCCAAGGACGAAGTTGCACTGCTGATTGTACAAAGATATCACAGCACTGTGTTCCCCTCAGACAGCCAGCATCTGCAGCGATGCAGCTTTGTCACATGGGGGAGAGTGAGTTGGGAAAGATCAGCCCTATAAATGCCACACCCCACCTTACCCCACGGATTTCCGTCTCCGGTGGTAAGGTCTTTTGAAACACGGAGCCAACACATTATAAACTTCACAGAAAAACCGTGCGTGACTGGCCTAAAACAGTTGTCCACTGAGTTCACGCTCCTAAGCCAGCACTACTACCAACCCAATCTCTTCCTCAGTTTTCTCAAGTAGAAATATCCTTCCATGGTGTGGGCAATCGGGAAGTGACAACCGCCATTAAAGATCTTTTCGATCAAAGCTCTTCGTCACTTCTCACTTCTTTCTATCACAACTGTCAACTCTTCTATGACTTTATCTTCATAAGTCACAAACGCTGTTTGAGTCTCTGAAGACCGCGACCTAAACAAAATGTCAGGACTTTATTTCAAACAGACTAACAATCTTCCTTAGCTAGGATTCTAGAAGTTAGTGCCATTGATATATACTGTGTCTCCAAAATACGCATACAGAATTCAAGAGTGGTCATTCACTTAACCTCATTAGTAAATAAGAGGAACCACACTGTTTGCCGTCTGTGCATCTGAGGACTTGACTGTGGCTTCTCTTGGGTTTCCCGGTGTATGTACAGTAATAAGTTATAAAGCAGAATAAGGCCTTCTAAACTGAATTTCCTAAAACAGCGACTTGTGCGTTGCCAGACTATATGGGGAAGTAAGAACAAGAAAAGATAAGGAAACACGCCTTTGGCTCTTCATCATCTATTCTTATGCTTTCACTGAAGTTCGGACGAAATAAAGAATGTCTTACATAAAGCTTTACGATCTCCTGCAAATACCGAACGCCTAGACTTAATTGTGGCAGGAGGCTTTAACACTCAAGTACATAGTTAAAACCAGTGAAAAATACTTGGGTGGGACTTAAAGTGTTCCACCTCAACAAGCAGATACTTAAGACATGTATTGGGTATGCCCTTCCGCTGATTACCTCGACAGGAAATTATGGATTGTAGGAAAAGGCTGCGAGAGAACAAGGGGCCGCCAAACCAAAAAATGATACTAGTCCGTAAAGACACTGACTGTTGGACTGAGCTATACAAGCAAATGTAAGCTACCCAGTTGGAATACGCGCGATTTTCGTAATCCATGGATCAAGACTATCGGTGACATGGCTCAGAACTGTTCACAATCGCGCAGCAGTATCCGATTTGTCTTTCCTAAGATCTGTATTTTTCAAACGACCAAACAAAAAGTTTTTATTCCACTACTCTATATTTTATTCTAGAATCGCACCTTCGATGCCTAATGTCTTTTACCACTACTAACGATGTTACTAACTGTACTACTCTAGAATTTATTTTGAGTTTCATTTTGCTGAGTTAATGAGATGTAGCAACTTGAACCTGTGTAATTTTTCAGCTTCCACGTTGAGCATGACTGAATCATCATTTTATCTTACACAGTAGTTTTGTATTTACAGCATCTGATAAGACTATTTTGAAGCAAGCCCATAATCTTATAAACTGGCTTGCACTTGTATTTAAAAATTCGGGTACAATATAATTTTTTCGAATCTTTTCAACAATAAAGATTAATCAACAAGGACAACTTAGTTAGAAGTATTTAAAAAATAGAATGAACTAAAGTGATGATATCCTATAGAAGTTACTTTCTTCAGAACAAATTATACTTATTTTGTTATACTAGTTGGTATCAAAATCTAGAGCGACCACAAATTATAGCTTGTCTTACACCACAAATGCTTGACGGTAGGGTTACAAGTAAACGGGGTGAAAAATAGTGAAAATTCTCCTTTAACTAACTGATAAACATTCTGAAACCATAATTCGAGAACTGATGTTTGTGAAAAGGTTTTGATTAACACTGCGCGCATCTTCAGCAGAGAGACAAATGAAGGACAATATAAGTACATAAATAGATACATGGTAATAAATTGTTAAGCGACTATAATATAGAAAACATTAAAGTTTATGAGCAACTTCGACCGGAAAGGAGAGTGGGTGAGTTGGAGAAGCAGTTTGGTAATACAGTATTTTGGAAGTATTACAAAATCTAAAGCTCTTATTTAAAGGAGCAAATGATACACTCATGTACTAAAGCGTCATTTATCCCAAATAATACTTATTTCTTATGCTTTTGAACGTCGAAAAAGAGAACAATCAGAAAAACATTATTTCAGATTACAGAATATGCAGATATTAGCCTGTAATCCTCTTGATGTCTTGAGTTTAGTGAGGGAGCATAACAGGGCGAAATTTATTCACCTATATAGCTAATTAGCATTTCGACATCATAAATGATATCAGTCGACGATGAGAACCTTAATGACAAATTCTAACCACAACGTCCAACCGTGAATTCAAATCTTACTTCCTCGCACCAATTTTGAACAACCATTTAGCCTAAGCAAGTTGGCTCACTCGCCTTTTCTATTATCAGTCATTCCGATCCAATTTGCTCATTCCTATTTGCTTTCTTCACATTGTTACCCCGATTGTCTGTTCAAATCAGTAAGTTGATGGAATATAAATATTTATGGTCCATTCTTGCATTTTTTTCCATGTTCATTAAGGCGGACTGAGTCCATAAGAGTCCATATAAGAGTAAAGGCGATACATATATTTCGATGACGATCAGCATACAAGCAAATGGGAGTCAGATAGAGGGTCACTAAATTCCCAAAATCAACTAACCATCGCCGAAATTTCCCTTTATAAACAATAATCTTATTTTGTTGCCTTCAGAAAAATCAAACTTTTTTGATCGCTGATTAGTAAACATCGATGAGTGATGGAGCGGTATTTCATGTATACACTCATAGCCTCTGAAGCCACTTAATCACAGAATTCTGCGAAACGACCCCTCCCATGAATTCTTAAGTATCATTTTGAGTAATAAGAGGACCCAACTATCCAATCAAGTTTACCTTTGAAGCCTCGACCTTGACTCATTTACGCCGCCAAATCAGCAAACACACAAGTTTCAATAAACAATATCCTGTTGAACTAATATGTACCGTCTGAATTTTTCGTGCCCGCTATATGCTGTTTCAGTTCGAATTCAGGACTTTAATCTGTTAAAAAGAATGTCTACAATAAATGGTATTGAACCATGTACACTTTGCTTTTCTATATGTTATTTTTAATTTTTCAAATCTGATAGCTCAATAGTTAGTTCCGAAGTTCACCGGTTTTTATTCCACAAACTGGTTCGTTTTTGAAATTCAAATTTCTCGTTATCTTTCTGAGGCCATGATTATTTTACTACGGAACGCTTCAGAACAATCAGGAGAAATATGATTTCAAGTCTAATCGGCCAGCAATTCCTGTGTGCTGTAATTGGGAGTTTGTATTACGTTTACAGTTTCTTCACATTTTGTTTCAGATCTCGTTTTTTTCTTGACAACAAAACGTTCAGTATTAAGTTTGGGGGTTTAAAACGTTAAACAAAAAATGAACGTGGAGTTGAAAATACTTTAGATATATTTCATAATTTCCTGAAGCTGGCAATCAATTAAACTACGGTGAGGTTTGCAGAAATTTTTTCAGGATTCCATTAAACTTTAGACAAACGAATGCTCACGGTTGTTTTTGCTTATATAAAGAAAGTATTAAGAATTTTCGGTTCAACAATAATCATAATAATCATGTCAATGGATACATATCTACGGTATTCACCTGTGGTAGTACATGATATAGTTTATTTGTCCTAACATTCAACTTGTGCTGGTCGAATAATTTTAGTGTAGATTTTATGAACGCACGATTTTGAAGTTTTGACCTTGAAGTCCCATAATTCAGGGTGGCTTAAACAGGAAAGTGAAATTTATTTTGAGTGTTGAATAATCCATATATTAAAGGATGAAGTATTGTGGAAGGCAACAAAGTAAGTCTGTAGTCACTTACTTGTATTGCGAGAACGCGACTGGTTTAATGAAAACAATTATTATTATAACCAGCTGTACCAGTGCTTGTTTTAATGTGCTTTTGTTTAACTGTGCATCCACTATTCTTACACTTTGATTGTGATCTCGCGCGAATTCGGTTACGCTCTGTAACCAAGCTTGTATCCTGGCACGATCTCGGTATTCTTTCGATATCACGAGATTGCCAGCAAATATATCTCGACTTGGCCCATTAACTGCCTTTTGATATTTGGCTTCCGGGGGATTTTATGGATTTATTTGGCACGTATTTCTCGGTAGCGGTGTTCATAGTCAATCTCGACTCGACGCCACGCTACAAGTCTACGGATCTCGTATGTTTTGCTGACTTAATTGCATTATACATGGGTTACGCACGTGAATTTTTCGCCTCAGAACTTTCCACTTAACGAATACATTCTTTCATTCATGATGTTCATAACAAAATATCACACAATTATTTGGTCTAAAGATTTATTACAGGTGTAGAATGGATGTTATATTAACGCTGGTAAGTAACACAAGACAAGTGTTGATAACCGTTCAAGAGACTATTAGAGATGTCACTTCATATAACAGTTGACAGGGAACCTGAACAAAACACAATTAGGAGTTGAGTAGACAGAAAGTATTTCCGTGTACATATGTATATGAAAATCTCTTATCCATCCACCCGAATAGCGAAGTTTCTATGTTTACTTCTGCAAGCAATCCTTCTGTCTCCTAATAAATTACGTCCATATTTTTGATCCGTTTTTGATTATTATGTTATAAGAACTTTTACGGATTCTGAAGTTAACAAACTTCTTAGGTTTGTGGAGTCCTTTGACAGCTACTTCATCTCTGCTTTACTAAACAATTCGTTTGAGCGATTACCATATCAAATAATAGTCATTCGATTGTTGCTAAATGAACTGATTTCTGTAATTTATAACTGAAACTGGAACACTCCTTTTTTAGGAGGGTTCACAGTTAATAACCGGTAATTTTATGTGAAATCCTTGCTTTTTTATATGATTCTCATTTTCTAATTTATCGCTCATGTTTAAAGCAATCTGAATTTACATATTTCTTTCCTTAGTGCAGAATTATATTTACTGGCTCACAGGAATATTTTTCGTATTTTGACGATTGGGTTTTTATGAGTGTTGTTTTAATTGGTTTTTTCTTTCTTGGAGAAATGATTGTTTATGTATACTAGTTTTGTTTGTATTAACACATCTTCTAATAGCACCTCTTGTTTAATTGTTTGTCGAAAATTGTTTTTTATCAATTACCGAAAAGACTGACACAACCCTTTCCTGTATTACCGCATCTAACGTGGTAGATAAGCCTTTATGTATAGAGAATATTTTTGTCTGGTTACTTTAATGACATCACTAATCTGATTTCTCCGTCCTTGATGTCATTTCTTACAGGAAATTTTTGATACTACCATCCACTATTTTCTTATAACATTGGTTAGTAATTAGCACTCAGGGTTTAAGACTTATCTTTTTCTGGTGAAGTTCCTTTGATCGATATAAACTGATTTCCCAGTATCAGTATTCTCTACTCTAGTAGTTATTTCATCAAGCGTCTGTAAATAATGTTAATCATTTTCAGAATACCTTGGGTTTCTCGTTATTTCTGTTGTGGTACGCACTAAAGGTAATTTCAATACAACTGGAGGTCATTAACCATTTCCACATTATACTAAATATATGACCTAAATTTAGTAGTTATCCACTGGAAACACTGTTTCGTTTGAAAAATATTGAGAATCTATAATACAACTCTGTTGCTTGAAATAGCCTTTTAAACTATATTAATAAGATATTTATTAATTTAAATATAAAGCACAAAATTCTACTTGAAAGAGATGACGTGATCTCATAGTTGTGTGAAGTCTATGTATGGCAAGTATGCAGGGAATGTGCAAGGAAAAAAATATCGGTAAAATATGACAGAAATTACTTATTCAGATCGTCTGTTCTATTGACATCGGTCTCATAATATATGTATGAACCAAGTTTACTGCAAGAATGATTTCAATTGTTCTTGAACTTGCTTTTTGATAACTTCGTCATCACATAAAGCTAGTTTTGATTGTACACATATAATATATTGCATTTTACATTCTGCATCTTCTTTGCATTCCTTTAGTTTATCTTGGATATCTTTTGTTTCTTGGGTAAGAATGACATTGAAATCCAAGTAAAAATAATGTAAATAAGTTGCAAAAAACTAAAACTAAACATTATCTCTACCGAGTCTGACATTTAGTTTATCAGAGTTACTGATCATATAGTTAGATTGTACACATGAGTAGTGCAAGCTAGGTGTACCGAATCACGTCTTTATCTTGAAGTGATCAGTTTTTCTATACATATAAAACGTAAGTCCACTAGTTATGGAGATATTTACAAAATGATAAGTATATATATACCTCATTTTTGGTTTGTATGACAGTTTCTACATATTTGCGTTTTTATAACCAGTCTAGGGAAATCTTGTACAATAAACTGATTTACATTTCTAGTTACCTACGGGTTCATACAGATAAATAGCTGTGTGGAAAGTAAATAACCAAACGAAAAAATAATTGTAGATTGTATTAACAACAACTTGCCATAAGTAATAATTTATCAAGGTAAATCTTTAGTATATCCAATTATTCTTCATTCTTCATAACTCAACAAGGGGAAATAAATGGTAACCAAGGGATACTCCCTGAAAGGTTACACTGCACAGAACAACAAACTGACAAAGACTTCGAACTGGTCAAAATAACTTTATCTTTGCGATAGCTTTCTTGGTTTAAATTCGTAGATTACGCGCTTAAACTTGATTCTAAGGTTCAAAGTGTACAATTAGTATTTTTAGTATACTCAGTTAATAAGATCTTGAAAAAACAAAGGTAGAGAATATATCTTGTTGAATGAATTATTTTATAAACGAACTTACGATCTCGGAATTTTTCCATCATACAGTTGGGAAGATCAATCAACATTTGTACACATTTATCAAATTCTGTTGCCACAGTAAGAGAATGATATAAAATCATTGATAAAATTAGAATAAATCTTAACATTCTTCCTTGAATCGCAACCCGTAAGGTCGAAATAGATAAAAACAAAAAGTTTATCCTTCACTACTTTTTAAATGAAAGCTATAACCAATCAGAAATACATCGTTTAAATAGACAAATCACAGAATAGTTGAGGTCAAATCATAAAATGGCTAAAACATTAACAGCCTCATCAAAGAAAATGATGATTACTTACACCCTAAAAGTCGTCTTATAATCGAAATACTAATCATTTGAGAATTGATAGTAAATGATAGGTTCCATTAATCCTTGTGCCATCAATAATACTAGTAAAAATGCAGGATCTCACTGATATTAATACACGTTTATTGTTTTCAGTTGTAAGGAGTTAGTAGATAGTCAGTGATTTGGTAAAAGCCCCAGCTAACTGAATAGAAATATGAAGTCTGTAACATATGAAGCGTAAGTAGATAAACTACAATCCTACACAAAAAGCTATCTATATATATGCTTTAATTATCACTCCAGATAAGAGTTTCGTCTTTCTTTTGTCTTGGATTTTCTCAGTTATTTTGCTTTGAATTTACCTGGTTGAAGTGTATCGATAATTTGTTTCGATTTGATAATTCCGCGTTTCGAACATAATGAACTGTGAATAAAACGAATTCATTCGTATTAAAAAATGCTTCTATTCCAGTCTAGAGGAAACTAATGAATTGTAACTGACATAATTTTGGCAGTATAAGTTGTTTTAGAGACCCAGTTGTTATATGGTAGATTAAAAAAAATAGGTTACCCTTATGTTATTTTGAACCCTGGGTTGGACATCAACCTCATTGTTGGGGTGATTCAGAAAACTTCTCGCAAAAGACAAGAAAGGCTCAAGAAACGCTAAGAAGCATTTTATCCAACCAGCGTTCACTTCAAGTTTAGCCAGAAACATCAAGAAATTGAAAAGTCAAATGTAGAGCTTCCGATTAGCTGATTACAATATTACTACTATGTTTAGTAGCATCCCAGAAATTTCGGGAGACCCAAGGATACCTAAAATACTATAAAAACCCTATATTTTCTGTACTAAAACGAACCTTTGGAGTAAAAAGTGCTTCTTGCATATTTTTCGCCTTTTCTATCGTGTTCAGGTAGTTGTGTAGTTCTAGCTTGGGGGTTACGAGAATAGCTTAGGAACCGAATATAGCGTTGAATTAGTAAGACTTATCACCTATGGTCTAGGCACATTCGTCTGATGAGTCGCAAGTAAGATGGAACGCCAGTCCTGTATTTCATATTTAGCCACCATCCAACTCTGCCTAAACTACATGTGTCATAATTGGAATATCAAGGGAATCAGCACAGAATACAAGTATGCCAAGAGATAGATAAATTAGAGTACAAAACATTAATTGGAAAATTTAAAACACTAATAGAAATGTAATGTGTTCACAACCGATTAATCACTGAATATTGACTAATGTTATGTATGTCAAGTCCTTCTCTAGTGCTGATCAATTCCTAACAGTCAAACTGCAATATGTCAACTCACCTGAGTGAATTGATATTGCGTGGTTACTATTTTATCAGTAGAAGTACAACGGTCATTAAAAATCCACTCTGTACTCTACTATCACAAAGATGGTATAAACCACAACAACAGATTTAACCATGAAGATCGAACAACAATATCAATCGATAGTTTCTACCGTTCGCAAACAGGCTTATCAGTTATATAGTCTGGTTAATTCAACTTTGGCATTTAAACTGCTCAAATTACAAGTTTAGGTATAATAATTCTTGTAATTGAGTTATATACTAGATCCATCTTGAATACTTTGTTCATAATTTCCGTTAATTACTAACATACAAAAGTTGCATTGATATTATAAGTAGCTTTATACGAACACGACAATATTAATCTGAATTAAATTAAAACTTAAACTATAATCGGAATGGGTTTTATGGAGATTTTAGAAATTTCACTGATTGGAATCATGTATCAATCGAAGCTAGACCACCATGGAAAACCTGGAAGCACTGGACGGTCGTTCCACCCTAGTATGGGACTCCTCAGCAGTGCGCATCCACGATCCTGCAACCCGCGAGATCCGAACCCAGGACCTATCAGTCTCGCGCCAGGCGCCTAACCAACTAGACCACTGAGCCGGCCGGCATCCAACGGTGTTAATGTCTAACTTCAACCAAACAACGAAGTTGCTCCACCGTATACCATAGTCTTCAGTGAGCTAATATCTCACAACAGACCTGGTTGAACTCCACTGGTAACGGCTTCTCACTAGAACCCCAGGAGTATCTCTTGAAGTCAGTCACTAGTGAACAGATGATTATTATCAGAAGTCCTGAAATTGATTAGTATCTTGTTTGAATAGAATCATCAAAATCTGTATAGATAAACAATAATATACAGATCAGTGTTTAGATGATTGAATTCTCTTGACAACTATGTGAAAATATTTTAACTAGTTAAGGCAAATAACAAAACAAAACAAAATAAACAAGACAAATGTTAAGCATGCAATAATACTTTTGTTGTTTTTGTTGTATAAAATAAACAAACTTTACAATTATTAATTGAAATGACTAAATACATCGATAAATTTTACATATATAAGTCTTATATTATATGAAGCTAACTTCTAATGTTTCATTAAGGATAATACATTCAATTTAAGTGTTTAAATAGTCATTCAAATATAGATTTCCATGTAAATTTATAGTTTTATTCATAGTAATGATAATAAAATTTTCTCAAAGAGACTATTATTATTATTACTAATAATGATAATGATAATATTTATAACGATAATAATTATGATAAACATCATTTTAAATAATTCAAGTTGATAAACAAGATTGTACAGGACAATGATGAAATATCCTTCTGAAGATTTCGTTTCATACTACTTATTTTTCCTAAATATTTTAAATCACGTTTACATGAAGAAATATGAAAGAAAAACGAATTTTTACTTTTTTTTTTGGTTTTACACACAAATATTGAATGTTGACACTTTTGAAAATTATTTATTACCTAAAACATTATCGTTGAATTCTTTTGTTTAACCATGTTTTGTTTGTTTGTTTTTTATAAAGAAAAAGCGTTTATAACCTATAGAACAAGATTATGAAAGTTGTACTGGATTTTCTGTAACTGTAAAAGTTTCACCATCAATACATTTTGTTGTTATCATAGTATTACTAATGATATTATTGTTTAAGTGTTCATTTTCTCTAAATGATGACAATGTAGGTTGTACAAGAATAGATTTTGGAATAACAAGACCAGTATTTATTTGGTTATAATATGAAGATATTGTAGGGATTTGTCTAGTTTGATAGTCATGATGTTCAGGTAATTCAATATTGATTCTTGTTGTCGGTAAAGAAGTTTTTGTTGATGTTATCGGTTGGTTATGTATTGGTTCTATTGGTGCAGCATAGAAATAACCAGTTAAGTATAAATTCCCTAGATTTTCGTTGTTATTCTCATTTTTGTTATCAGGTGTAATATTAATTAGATTAGTTTTACAATCACCTAAAACATTTGAATTTTGTTCAGCAAATGAATCAAATGTAAACTTGTCTTTCAGTAATGTTGAAGTTGTTGACGGGTTACTTGTCACTGAAGTTGGTGACGGTGTATTGGATAGTAAGTATACACTTGTCGATATATCATGACATGGGGTGTTTAAATGACATATTTTTGTTGACTTTCGATCAACTGATCTGTTAAATCTGGTATTAGTTGGTACAACATGAGTAGATGGTAGATATTCGTAACGTGTATCTATTGGTGCTTGTGCTATATTACCTGATTTATTACACCAGATAGGCTCTTTTTCATCAATTAAACTCCACGAATGTTTACTTAACGGTTGGCTAGTAGTTAAACAAGTTTGTTGACTTTCATAAGGTAGATGACCTTTACAATGAGTAGGAATAGTTTTCATATGATTTTTCTTTGTTAATTTAGCAATATCATCCACAACATATGACCAACGATGACATCTACATGACCAAAATAATATAACTGTTAACAAACTACCAGTTAATAATCCACATATTACTACAAGTATCAAATGTGTAAGAGTGTAACCGTCAGCTTGTGTAGTGTAATGAATTCTTGATTTATAGTAACTGGCTAGGTCATACAAAGAAAAACAAAATGATTAATTAATAAAAACTTTTAAGAGATTCAATAATGAACAGTCAATAAAAATTAATGAAAATTTCATTATATTTCAGTCGTTTAGACAATTGAAATAATGACGTTAGATATATTTTGGTTCATTTTGTAATATTATTTAAGAAGGATATTAAATTTTAAATAATATTTTTGTTGGAATAACTTTGTTCATATCTCATCTTTAAATTCAGTTCATTCCCTGAATGAACACAGATCTAAATTTATTTCTTTTCAATTGAGAGCATTTCACGGCTTTTGTTATAGACTAGCATTTGTTTCAGACATCATAACTAAATATGCGCTTCGATTATAACTATTATTCGATTATTACTGATACGGTATACAATTCTCAGCACAAGGTATTTTAATAAGTTTCAGAAGAAGGGTGATGGAATAGAAATTTTAGGTGAATTTTACCCATTAAATTCATTTTGGTAATGTATATATAGCGACTCACGTGCAAAAGGGCTTAACTGGGTTAAATGAAAATAAACCCATTTGCACGTGAGTCGCTATATATATTTATGAATTGTGTCCAAAGTTTGCCATCTTGCTTCAAATTTAAATTATATGTACTTAAAAATTATAACGATCCCATGTAAATCAAAATTCTGCGAATCTTTGATGGTAATAATAACGATACCCCCTTCATTTTGTCACTAAATGATACTTTGAAAATAAAATCAGTATATTACTTTCCGTGTCGGGTGTGAGGTAGTAATCCACTGAGGACAATGAAAGATGATCACGCAACGTCGCGGATTGATTGAGGTTAGACATTGACATTGTTGGTCTAGAGGTTTAGGATTTACCTTTGAGATTCAGAGTCCTGGGTTTGATTCCTGTGTGTAGGATCGCGAATGCGCACTTATGAGGCGCCCCGTTCTATAAGATAACGACCGTCCATTGGTTTTAGTTTTACAATGGTGGTTCAGTTTAGATCGGTTTATGATTTCAATGAAACCATATACAACTACTTAATTGGACGTTCATGTTATATTTGTAAGTAATTAAATGAACTTGCTGCTTAATTACCTGATTTCGGTATAACATTGGATTTTCTAAACCAGCTGTCATCGTCCAAACAAGATCGTTGTTCGATACTGCTTCCAGAACAAACTGCATTGGATCGACATTGCCTTTTCCGTATTTGAATATTAGTAGTTGGATCACAGTCACTCCAAATAGACCAAGGAAGCCAATTTTGATCGAAACCTTCAGGAAAATAAAAACTTTCACAGTTAACTTAGTATTCAGTATAGGTTAAAAATATGTGAATGCTTGCACTATTTTTGAATTGTAAGTATTTGGATTTTGTTTCAATAAATAACAGACTTACTATCCTCTCCATGAACAATCAGTGCTCATAAAAGCACCCGAATACCATTTCATTAGATGACTTTGGTCTGCTTACGTCGTTCTGTATGACAGAAACAGACAACTATTTACAGTTGTTTAGTCAAACATGACAAGTAAGCAATAATTTCCAGATGAATTAGTCCATTCTCAATTAAGATAAAATCCCCACATTTAAAATCTTTTTATATGAATCACTTTGTAAGTTTTTTGGAACTCTGTAAAAGTTTGCTGAATTGTAACGGTGAAATAAATCCACCACCATCATTTGTTCGCTACATCGATAATTACCTCTCCTCAGAAACTGCCTTAAAAATGCTTACATCTTTGACTAGTGAAATTATATGATCATTAAATGTTTTTTCATTCTTAGTACTGACCTCAATTATTAAATCTCCTTTCTTGCAGATGTTTTACGCTGACACTGTCTGTTCTGGCCAATTTAACTAGTTTAAATAATATCTATCCGAATCAGTTAGCTGTAAAACAACCTAGCACACGTATGACAGAAGACCTATCACAGTAATTTTCGGAGTTCTTTTCCAGTACTCTCTGTTCTCATCCTTTTCTTTTGTTGTACATGATTATAATTACTCTGTAACAGTACTAGAATTGTCCTCGATACAAAACCCATATTTCTTCAGGATACTTTTGTACTTACTTTACTATAAATAAAACCGTTTGGATATAAAATTGAGAATTTTACTACTAATATTGTAGATGAACCCAACTGAATCTTTGACTACAATTATCGACATCGAATATCGGATGTAAGAAAAAATCTTATCATGATAACACAACAATTTGATAGGAAGCAGATTCTGGAATATTTTTATGATTTACTTACTTTAATTACGTCTGTTACTCCTCGTAAAGGAGCATAGGCCGCTCACCAGCATTCCCCATCCAATCCTGTCCTGGGCAATCTTTTCCAGCTCCTTCCAGTTCTAATTCATCCTTTTCATATCTGCTTCTATTAGCCGACGTAATGTGTTCTTTGGCCTTCCTCTTTTCCGCTCCATTCAGGATTCCAAGTTAAGGCTTGCCTCGTGATGCAGTTTGACGATTTGCGTAATGTATGTCCTATCCATTTCCATCGTCTTTTCCTAATTTCTTCTTCAGCTGGAAGCTGGTTTGTTCTCTCCCACAGAAGGCTATTGCTGATGGTATCCGGCCAATGGATGTTGAGTATCTTGCGAAGACAGCCATTTATAAATACTTGTACCTTCTTGATGGTGGTTGTTGTAGTTCTTCAAGTTTCAGCTCCATACAATAGAACTGCCTTGACGTTGGTATTGAAGATTCTTACTTTGATATTGGTTGAAAGTTGTTTTGAGTTCCATATGTTCTTCAATTGTAGGAATGCGACCCTTGCTTTGCCAATCCTTGCCTTTCGTCTGCATCTGAGCCTCCTCGTTCATCGATGATGCTTCCCAGGTATGTGAAGGACTCTACATCTTCCAGAGTTTCGCCATCAAAAGTGATTGGATTGCTGTTCTCTGTTTTGAATTTGAGGACCTTGGTTTTCCCCTTGTGTATGCTGAGGCGTACTGATGCAGAGACTGCTGCTACACTGGCTGTCTTTGTCTGCATCTGTTCGTGTGTATGCGACAGGAGGGCTAGGTCATCTGCAAGGTCCAGATCATCTAATTGATTCCGAGCTGTTCATTGTATACCGTGTTTTGCCTCAGATGTCGAGGTCTTCATAATCCCATCGACCACCGGAAAAAAACGGAGGGGAGTGTGTAGACAGCCTTGTCTGACTTGACTTCTTACTTGGAATATTTTTTATGATTAATTAAATTAAATTGTACAGAGGTAAAATCCATATTTACCATACTCAACCATTACCCATTTGCATAAATTTACGAAGATAAACTGGAGGAATATTTCAAAATAGTAGACAAAAACTAGGGTTTCATCTCAAGATAATTAAACAAACTTATTTCTGAACAAAACTAACTTCTGTCTAATCAAATGTTTACCTTAAAAAATTTCTGTTTCAAAAGAAAGGCAAAACTTAAGGATATCAGTTTTCTTTCATCGTCAACTTTAACTAAGCTTCTGGTACTGAGATTTTGAAAAAAATAAATCGATTTATACTTTTTGGTACAAAAAAATAAAGGTCAACTATACTTAGAATTTTATTTTCAGAATTCTTAAGAATCCTGTAATACAGTGTTATTAGATGGTCTATTGAAATTGTCCTAAAAAAGAGAAATTAGAGCAATGTATTTAGGTAGAGTTGAACAAGTATTCAAACATTAATTTTGTAATCGAAGACAACTAATATAATGTTTTAAATATATGTTTCATAATTGTTGAGATCAATAAAAAAAAACGAGTAACTTCAGTTTCAGGTAAACCTATGTCCACTCAATGGTTTTAACTCGATTCAATTAGGTCAATAATTAATGGCTTCATTTCTACATTGCTCAATATTAAAGGTGTCTTTAAAATGAGCTTGAGTAAAGCAGTCTATCACAATTTTATCAAGAGAAAGAACTGTAGTCTGATGTCGGTCATCGTCCAAAGCTTTATTTCAACTAAGTACGTGAATGAATATAAAGGTAAGTTTATTCACTTGTGAAATCTCAAAATTTAAACGTCGAAACTTACGAGTACAGTTCTTAACCTGCTGGATTCCAAGAACACAATTAACTTGGCTGATGCATAAACGGCATAAACAACTTCCCAGTAATTTCATTGAAATTTTGTCGCCAACAATTTCATTGACATCATCGGTCGGTTGATTGTGAATTGTTATAGGAACCGGATCACCTGTTTGTAGTGAAGCAATCCAATTGCAATCGTACCACTTTGTCCATGAATTCTCTTTATCTTTTTCAAATGTAAAACTTTTTGTTGGACATTGATGATTACTTCGTTGTCTATGATCAATCGATGGTGAAAATGTATTTAAACGGTTAATTTGTACGGTAGACTCAAACAGATAACCACTTGAACATCTACCTTCGGACCAATTCCAACCACAGTGAGGATCTTTTGAGTTGAGACAGTCATCAAATGTTTGATATTCAGAGCAACGTGTTAGTGGTAGACGAAATAATTGTTTATTTGTCATGATATGTAAATAAGAACCCTAAATGAAGAAAAACAAGAAAACGTTCCCACACTTTGAATTAGATTGGTGTAATATTTTGCTCATTTATAATGAAACTAAAACCTTGCGAAGGCTGATATTATATATTTAATTAACATTTAAACTGTCACTTTTACATAGACTGTCTCAACGTTATTGCTTAAATTTATTTAACAAGTTCATTAAACATAAGACAGAGTCATTCTTTGAAGGACCATCAAGAAATATTAAAATTCACAGGGTATTTTATAACTAAATTATACTGAATTTACTGTATTTTAACTGATTTCAAAATGGCTGATGAAATTCAAGCAGAACTAGCATGTCAAACAATAACAACTCGTTTAAAGATTAAATTTTGAACTCAGTGGAATAGAGAGAAGACATAAATTATTTAATATTTATGAAGCTCATTACTTCTTAATGCTTTATATCGATTCTTAGAAACTTAGAAACTATAAATTTAGATTTTGGCGCTTACTAAATAATCACTGAAGAATGCAAAACTCAACAAAGTATATCGACTGAAATTGGTGAATGAAGTACTTCTGCTAAATTCTTAAGGATTGTTCTTTATAAGTTAATAAAGAGGATTTAACAAATCGTTTAAACTCGGAAGCAAAAAAATTGACTGAAGTATAACATTAAAAGACGGAAGTGATTTAATCATAGACTGACGTCATTTGAATACTAAATGAAAAGTAGGAGTACTAGGATCCAGGTTTGTCCCAATTAACACTTGTCACCAGCGTTTACCCCAGCTATAACAGAATGTCGAGCCCTAGGTAATCATACGTCATTACAACCTACTTATTTGGCTCGAAAAAAGTATCCTTTGTCTTTCATAATAATCCACTTTATATTCTGATAATTATCAGTTTCACCAGTAAAAAATTAAGGCTTTAGATTTAACAAACCATGAAGATAATTAAAACTGTGATGGAGTTAATACAAAAATGTCATATGAAGTCACTTAATACCATAACATGTGAATACATTCCACATAATATTAGCTCAGTTATCAAGTATGTTAAATCTATTAATAAAAGTTTTAATCTCGCTTTTTGGTACTGATAAGTACAAAAAACTTATTAATTAAAAATAGTTCTTATTTGAATGAATATTTATCAAATATTACCTATAAAATAACAGTCTTATGTGTGCTACTGATATCGATAGACATACGTAGTATGTATTATCAATCGAAAATGAAATACCTGACAGCAGAAGGTTAAGAAAATCGACGAAAAGAGAACAAGGACAATGAATGATTTCTGTAGAAATAAAGGAATAGTAAAGTCTGACATGATTGATTGACAGTTTACAAGTGAAGTATTTACAGTATGGTTCTCAGATTTTACTAAAATGTCTTGTAATTTAGTGTTCAAATATATTCGTTTGCCCCCACTTGTGTTCTCATTCACTACAACAGTACCCAACAGTCTAACAAAATAAAATATCATTTTAGTACACCAATCGACTGGTAACTAAAAACAAATGAAAATCGATATACTTTTTTTATGGGATAATTTAACAAAACATCAAGCTGTGTCAATATTCAACTTTTATCAAAGATTCTTTTCAAAAATTAAATTTACAACCAATTCTATATGTTTAGATAAAGTAATAATATTTATTCAATTTGTTAATTAAGACAACTAATCATTCTTATTTTCATTTATTTGACTTAATTAGTTTGTATTAAAAACCAAAAATCTGATTGACACTACGTCAGTCAATTAATCAGTCAGTTACAACTGTTTATTAAAAAACTTTTTTCTCAGTTTTCCCCTTTTTTTGTTGTTGTTTAGATAGAGAAAAAAATCCACGTTCGTAAAAAAGATGATTGTAATTTCCATACTATTTTGTTTATTGTAATCAGTAATAAATAGATTTTTTAAAAAAATTAATGAATCAAGTAATTGTAACCAGATGTAGACTAGGTACTGTACAATGTTTTGTTTTCTTTCTATACACAAACCCCCCCAAAAAAATTCATAGATGATCAGATAACTTAAAACTACCATGAATTACATTGGTTGCTTTGAGTTGATGAAGAAAATTTTTGATTTGATTTGTATGAAACAATTTTCAGCTTTCAATTTTTATCCTCTACAAATTCTCAAACTAAATAAAATTAAGATTGTTAGATTAAAAGGCACTTCTTAAAGTTTTTTTTGTTTTCTTTTTTCGCTTCTCTCAATTATTTATTACTAGGGGTTGTGTTTTGAATTTATCATTGGAAATAAACTAAAGGAAAAATTTTCAAATTACTTGATGAAATACAACAAAAAAGAGAGGAAAAGAAAACCAAACGAAAAAAGTTTGTTTACCTGTTTACATGTGTTTATTTATATTTTCTAATGTTTGTGTAATAAAAACAATCAGTTAAAAGAAAGTAAACAACTTTGTGTCTAATTGATTTAAAATTGTGATAATATAAACAGCGAATCAACTAATTTCTCATTTAAAACGATACCAGTAAGAGATATAATACTTCGTAACTTTTATATATGATCTAATAATTCAATCATGATTTTACTACTTACTTTCTTAGTTCAAAGAAAAAAAATTTAACACGTTAAGTTTTGTTCTTTTTTTCTGTGCCCTCAAATGCCCTAGTACGGCAGATGGTGGGGAGAGTCAGCTCTCTCTCTTTCTCGAATTGCTCTCACATGGCCACGCATATACCACCACTACCAGCGAAGTCTTACTCAGTGCCTTCTCACGAAGGGATGTTGTTTACGAAATTGAGAGGACGAAACGCCAATGTCCGGCGCTTTAACCGAGTTGGTGAATGAAAAGGATTCACCTAGAGGAGTAAGAAAACCCTGATTCCAAACCAATGGCGCACATGGGCTCCAGTATCCTGAAGGAACAAAAAGCGTATGAACCAATTGTTGGTCACCGGCTACCATGAGAGTGCATCTCCTGACGTTGTTTTTAGGTTAATGGATCCGTGTGTGGTCTCCTTGCAAAACCACCTGCTTCAGTTTGGGCACTCGAGCAGTATCACAGACCACACAAATCAATTGAATTGTGTAATGCATATGTATTTGGTGCCTCTTTGTACCAATATTTACGTGTTCAAATATTAATAATAATAAATGATATTCTATTGTGGGACTCCTCAGTAGTGCGCGTCCACGATCCCGCTCGCAGGATTTGGTTCATGATCTCAATCAAAAACTTAACAATCTCCACAACTCCTCAACTGATATATGATATTCTGTAAGATTTTTAGTTGAATGATAACATTACTGCGAAGAACAATTCATTCCCCTACGTACAAGTATATTCAAAATTAAAATTATATGTAATAAATTCATGTGAAGCATCATTGACAACATTGAAATTATGTTTCTAAAACAAAAGTAAAGTTCAGAGTACAATAAGCTTTCAATGACACTAACAAAATTCTTTCACATATTCTGTTTCTTCAGGGTTTAGTGATTTTTCATCTGATCTCATAAATAAACAAGTGTTTGATTTTCATTGGAATTTCTGATTTTGTTATAAACAATATTTAGCATATTATTGAGACTAGATAAACACATTGTCCTTTTTAAAAAATTAAAGTATGTTTTCTTAGTGAGTCACTTGATAAATCTCCGCAACTTAAGATCGCTTGTTCGGGATGGATAGTTACAAAATAAAAAGTATTGGTAAAACTAGGTATATTTACTCTTATCGCCAATTCTCGCTTTTATTGTCCTTACTTGAATTTAGGAATTAGATTTTAATCTAGATTAATGATCTCAACAGTATACCTGAGGTGAATGCTAATTATGTTGACAGACATAAGTAGTATGTAACATCAACCAAAAGTCAAATGGCTGGCAGTAAAAGACTAAGAAGATAGAATTGGACAAAACAGAAAAGAAAATAGAAAGGAATTGTGGATTGGAAGAATCAAACAGAATGTAAAGGAAAATTGAGTGAACATTTACACATGAAGCATTTAATGTATGGTTCTCATATTTTACCAAAATATTCTTTAATTTTGTATGGAATAATAAACTGATTGTCTCCGCCTGAGTGTTCATTCATTACATACCGTCCATATAAATTTTTTAATTAAAGATTATAAACTATTAGAATGGATGAAAGTTTGTTCTGGTCAGGATTCAAGTAAACTCTGTCAATATTTAATGTAGTCAGTTTAATTTCTTTAAAAGTATTGACCAACTTTGAGTAGTCGGTACAACGGTAATAAGAGCTGTTATATTAATTTGTTTACAATTTCTAATGTTTTCTAGTAATAATAGTAATAATAATAATAATGAAAAAAAGTAAGCTTTGACTGCAAGACGAATCTTTTTGTTAGAGACTACTGATTCGATTAAAATGATTTCCTACTTTTCATATACCCTAGCACCCCTATTTTAACTAAACAATATAAATATTTAGATATTTACTAAAACATTGAAAGATTTTTATAAAATATATGTTTAGCAGTATGTCTATGAAAAGTTTTGCAAGTTTACCATGCTATGAATAGGCAAATAAATGGATTTAAGAGATTTTAAGAGTTGTTCTCTGATGAATCAGCATATATGTATTTTTAATATGTATTTACTCATTAATTAATTTATGGAATTTTGATATTGTCCTAACTGTAAACGTTTGTTTGATCCATTAACTGTTGTGAATAATTCTTCCAGGAATAAATTATAAACTTGTATTACATAGTCCTAATCATGTACATATTTTAATTTATTACTTTTTATGTTCAACTGTAAGCTAATATTTCATGTATGTAATCACATACGTGTTAAGTTTAACAAAATATAGAACACTGAAAAGTACTAGTCAAATTGTATTTAACTTTTTAATTGGTAAAAAGTAAGTTCTTCAAATTTAGTTGTACGAGACTGAAACTTGAAGAGCTACTACAACCATCATTAAAAAAGTACAAGTTTTTATAAACAATTGTCTACGTAAGATACTCAATTTCCTCTTGGCGAACAGCATCAGCAACAGTCTACTGTGAGAAAGAA